ACCCTAACCCTAACCCTAACCCTAACCCTAACCCTAACCCTAACCCTAACCCTAACCCTAACCCTAACTTCTAGAATATATTTATACATGCCTAACCTAACTAAGTGCACTTAGCACACTTTAGACAAGAATCTAGTATAATAAAATAAATAACTCTTTTAAGAAAATAATAGTTATAAGAAGCTTTAGTAGGATAGTTAGCTTAAGCGATTTTAGAGCTAAGGCGTAAGCAACGTTAGTAAGAAGAAGATATAACAACTACCTTACTTATAACGCAGGGTAAGCCTTAGTTATTAATAGAAATAATAAATTAGTTATATAATTCAAGAACAAATCTATAGAGAAGAAGGATAGTGTTATAATCTAATCTAAGAGGTACTCTAGAGGTTAGCGTAATTACTTTAAAGAATTATGCAGCATAGCTATAGAAGTGCAGTATAGAAACTATGCTATAGTTACGTAACCGCTTATCTATAAGTAGAATAGCGCTAGTTTTATATAAGCGCTTATCTATAAGTATAAGTAGTTAGACTAATAACTAGTAAGATATATTACTACTTATCTATAATTACCTATACGCTTATCTACGAGCGTAACACTTATTAAGTATATAGCTTAGGCACTAAACTCTTATAGCTTAGTATATTTAACTTTATATAAGACTCTAGTATTTAATCTAAGAATTATACTTCTTTCTTTACCTCTTATAATATTATATTATTCTACTAAACGTGCTATTACACTCTTATACTATTATATCAATCTTTTAATTATGCTAGTATACTAACCTATTCTACCTTACTTACTTACTCTCTAAGAAACAACTCTTAGGTTATCTTAGAACGACCTTTACACTGCAAGGCAAGGGGGGAATTCTTGCTTAACTAGGTTAAGTATATACTAAATAATTACTCTCTTCTTAGTCTTATACAAACTTATTATTATTAGCCTGCAATCTGCCTATAAGAGTTGTCTAGCGCGTTAATAGCATAGAGTTGTATAAGAGACGTTATAGGTAGCTGCAGCGCGTCGCAATAAGAAAGTTGCGTCTTGTTTAATAGCCTAAAGCGTAGTCTATATTCTAGCTTCTTTTAGTAGTTCTATCTAGTATAGTTAATTAGGCATTATAGGGTAGAGGTAGTTTTAGTAGAGTCTTAGCACAGGTAGACCGCGAAGCATACTAGACCGCGAAGCATGCACCTACATTATTCTAATAGTAAAAAGTTAATCTGCGGTATAAAAATAATAGAATTCGAATAGCAATGCCCGCAAGGATACTAAACGAGGATACTCTTAGATTCTGCTGTTCTGGGTTAGCAAGCCCTAACGCTTAGCCTAGTTCAGCGCGAGGATACGTATCCTCGTCGCCTTATATTGGTTAGGCGGAGGGTATGCGCGGGATCTGGATAGTGCCTTGAGGGAGCTACTTCAGCACGAAGAACCCTCCGTTCTCCACGTCAACAACTTTGACTTCTTTCTCTTCTGATTCCTGTGCATTCTCTTTGCCCAGCGCCCACTCCAGCGTTCGGGAGATATCCGTAACAATCATCCACAACAGCCCTCGATACCTCAGCGGCGAGTTGTGTGTCGCAATCCAGTACTTAGCATCCGTCTGCCTTTGCAATTCCAACCCCGTCGCAACGCCGAACGTGGTCTGCCAGTTGAACGTCCAGCTCTCTTTGAGCCCGTGGAGGAGGGCAAGCACCTTAAACTCCGGCGCTGACCGATGCAAAAGAGTCTGCAGAGACTCCTGGGAGGTGCGCATGCCGTGCGGGGAGTACAATACCGCTTCGTGTGCGTCCGGTGAAGGCGTGTAAATGATTGCGCTGGCGAAGTTAAGCTCGTGGTGGCCGCGGGCTCGGAAGACGGTTAGCCAGGTTGGTAATGGGCTGCCTGGATGAAGCGATGTCCAGTCGCCGTTGAAGATACCCGGCTCGAGGTCGCTAGTAGTGATGATGTTGTCGAAGTGGTTCCAGCCGCGAATGATCGCGCTCGCTTCTGTTGTCGCGAACACGGGTATGCTTGATGCGAATGTCAGCAGAGTCGGCTTGTGCAGATGATCGTCGTAGTGGAAGCGTATGAAGATCGCATCAATCGGTGAAGCATCTTGAGTGATGGGTGCTGTGGTAGGAAGGATCCCGGCGTCTGCGGCTGCAGCTTCGACGTCGCGCGCGATGCCTTCTACATCGCTGCCGTTATTGACAGCAGGTGGAGACGACAGGCTGAAGCTTGCTAGCCATATCCCCAATAGATTGACAGGACCGTTGAACCATGGGTCATGTACGATGTGGTAGTATGCTTTCCCGCTGGTAATCCGCTCCTTACTTGGACGTGGAAAGGAAAGAAGCCATGAATTATCCCCGTTCAAGGATGTGAATATCGCGCGCAACTGCTGCTGGCCGTGGGCTGCATTGGCCAACTGCGTCCTGGGTGCGATAGCACGGTCGTTCGCCATGGCAGTCGTGAGTTGTTACAAAGCCGCAGTGAAGTACGAGAGTAGAGAGAGTGGATTGAGCACATACGTCATGTCTGACGTGAGACTCAAGGTCACTAAAGTGCGATTCAGCCTTGTACGAATGCTATCCAATAGACCGCGAGACGCGGTTCGCCTGACGAGGGGTAGTTACGCCCGTGTAACCATGTCGCCCACAGGCTAGATCACACGATCGAACCAAATAAGACCACCCTTGACGTCGCTCTCCAGGCCTACACCGACCGCGACAACCTCCCCGGCTTCTATTCGAATCTCGCCTCGAATGGTACTATACAGCTTCCCATCCCACACGCCGTGCATGTCTATTGCGAATATGTTCCCGCTGAGGTGTGCGAACGTAAGCATGTACGGAAAGCATCGATCTGTGCAATCCGCAACAAGCATGCCGTCCTTCATCTCGACTGCGAGGCTCTTGTATCCAACGTTGTGGTAGCTACCGACTATCGCGTCAAGAGAAACATCAAGCGGTTGTGCATCTTTCACCTTCGTCCACTCTGGCTTCTCCGCCTCCTCGGCATCGTCCATGGCCTGGAAGTTCTTGAAGAACGCGCTCCAATCGACGCGGTCCTCGTCGCGTACGCCGAGAACATCATCCAGTAAAGTGAACTTCAAAATGTCGTTGACGTACATAGCGGTATCAGAGTTCCCGAAGATGACGAGGCCCCAATCAAACTTGGGGAGGAAGCAGACCATCGCTTTGAAACCTGGCACCGAACCGTAGTGGCCGATGACCGTGTGTCCGCGATAGCTCGTGCGGGATAGGCCGAGGGTGTAGAGCTCGTCGCTCTTGTAGGGTATGGCCCATTTGTCGTCGCCGAGGAGATCGAAGCTGCGGGGCGTGGCGAGCGCTTTGTGGCTGTCTTCGGAAAGGATGGGGTCGCGTTTGATGAGCGCGCGGATATATTTAGCGTAGTCGCCTGCGCTGCTGAAGATGCAGCCTGCGCCGTGGCCTTCTGGTGCTGGCGGGTAGTGAGGGAGTGCGACGTAGGACTCGGATTTGCTGTTCCAGTAGTATGGCCTTGCGCGTCGGTCCGTGTCGCTGTTGGCTTGAATGTCGGGTACGTCGTAGAATGTATTGGTCATGCCGAGTGGTTTCCAGAGTTTGGTCCGGATGAAGTAGGTGTAGGACATACCAGTCACAGTTTCGATGAGGTGTACAGCGACACTAAACATGATGTTGCAATAGATGTGCTCGGTACGAAGTGGTTTGACGAACTCGAGATTGCGCAGATTGCGCGTCAAGGACTTAGCATTGTCGGGGTGTTTGGCGCGCGCGCTGAGGTAGGACTCGTCGTGAGTTGCAATGCCACTCCGGTGACTCAGGATATCTTCAATGGTGACTTGCTCCGTGACATATGGGTCGGGAAGAACGAAGTCGTCGGGAAGGATCTTTGACACGGGTGTTGTCCATTGTACGTCTGGGTACTTCTCATCGTCTACGAGAACAGCCACGGCCGCCGCAGTGGTACACTTGGAAGTGCTTGCGAGGTCGAACAGGGTGTCTGTAGTCGCTCGGGTGTCGGGATGTTCCGAATAGCCATACGCCTGAGGGGTGTGAGTGATGCGCAGTGGTTCTTGTGGAGAGACCTAGCTACCTTGGAGTAAATGTCATCGCCTTGTACAACTGCGAGCGAAAGACCGGGGGCGTGAAATTCATTTATCGTCTCCAGTACGAGCGTCTCGAATGTGGGAGTCTTGTAAGCCATGGTTTAGATTAAATTCTATACTTCATGCATGCATAGGTCGCTCAATATATACTTTGCTACGATGCACCGGTTCATGGTCAGCGTAGTAGCTCTTGACACGCAGAGCCACACTTACTCTGGGTCATAATGATTCATCTGCACTATCTCGGGTGTATTCCGCTTGTGGGATGGTTCGGTATACCATAGCGTGCCGTTGGATGCGAAAGGCGTGATGTGAGTCAAGGCGCGCCGCGGTCGAATCAGGCCGGCGACCATCCGCGTATATCGAGCCAATCAGCTGCTAGCGCCTGGAGATCCTCGCCCAATCGGTAGGTGGTGGTGCATTCTGAGCATGGAAAGAGCTGCCGTCACACTACTCCCTTGACAGGAACGGAAGTCACACTTGATCCAATTGTACCATGCATACGTCTACATCTCGCGGCTACAGGAAGTTGCCGCTCGAGAAGCGATCGCCAAAACCCTTTGACTTGCTGAGCATCTCGCGCTTCTGCTTGTGATTGAGCGAGCCGCTCACAGCCATGTCCTTCTCGTAGTCAAAGGCGCGCTTGCTAGGATCGTCCTCCTTCTCCTTGCCGGTGCCCTTGTCTTGATGTTGCTCGACGAGACTCTTGCCGCGTGCCGCATCGATCTTCTCGCGCATCTTGCGTGCCCTCCTCTCCTCTTCTTTGTTGCGTTTGGACTCCGACGTGGCAGGTGCAGAATTGGTGGGCGCGGTTATGCCCAAGGCCTCGTCTTGTAACCGCTTGAGCTTTTGCTCTGGTGTCTCGGTCCATGCGCTGCTCATGCCTCCAGTGCCTCCTGCGCCCTTGCCTGTATTGAACTTGCGCGCGCGCATTTTTGTGGGGTCCATTCTAGCAGCGAGGTCGTCCTGCGTCGGGGGCAGAGTCATCCATTCGTCGCGCTGTGCCTTCTTCGGCGCATCGGTGAATTGCGGTTCGGTGTCGAATGCTGATTTGCCCACCGCGTTGTCGAAGCCTGAAGATGCGCCCCCGGCTGGTGGCGGCGCAGGCCCAAAGTCATCGTCGCTGCTGTCGGAATCGCTGTCTGGTGGGTTTGGCGGCCGCTCGTCCAGAGGCGCTGGTGGTGGAGCAGGTCCGACTACGCGCGCCGGCTTTGAGGATGGTGGTGGCGCAGGACCGACGTTGCTGTCAACACTACTAGATCGTGATGTCGCGTCTGGTGGTAGTGAAGGCCCAGCTGTGCGCGGAGGTGAGGATGCGGAAGGTGGAGGTGCTGGGCCGATGACTCGTCTGCGCTTGTCGCCAGATTCTGGACTCGATGCGCGATCATCTTCGTCGTCGCGACTGCGCTTGGAGAGGTGCGGCGGCATGGTGGGTCCTATTGAAGGCATCGTGGGTTGTGTGAGGTGTGAATGGAAAGATGTTTCCGGCTGCGCGTCGAGTGACGTTCTTTGGAGCTTGGACCTTCACCAACGGCGCGGCACATGCGGCGATCTGCGAACTGCGCCATGAGCTCCGGAGACGCGCCATCCTTGCCAGCCCATGCCAACCCTCGTGGGCCACTTTCACCCTCTCAAGTAACTCACACGCCCGTCGCATACGCCCTCGGTTGCCGCGCTATCCACTCGGACGCACGCCTAACTCGCCTTCGCGTAGGCAGCACCGACCCGTACCGCATACCATCACCGAAACCCCCGCGCCCAGTCGATTACACCCGCGAACTACAACATCTCGAAGACCAGATACCAGATATCGCACAACTACCCACAACTACCAGATGTGCGCCTGAAGCAATGCCCTGCGCAGAACGAGCCTGATGAGCTCAGATTCGGAAGAGAGCCACTCCAGCGCTCACAACGACCATGGAGACGAGATAGACACCAGGGAAGGCGCGGTGGGCGCTTTTGATGCACAAGAAGATGATTCTGAGGGAAGCGCGACCGAGCGAAGAAGCTTGGACGAAGACGAGAGCGAAGATGTTCAGTCGGTAGACAACGGCATCGATGGCTTGACATTTGCCAGGACACGGCGGAGAAGCCCCCAGGAAGAGACGCATGATTCAGCATCGGTGCTGTCCATACGACCGACTATAGAGGTGGCCCATAGCCCTGCCTCGACGGACATACCCGACGACACTCCTTCGGTTCAGGTATGCAGCATGGCAGATCCACATGGGAATCCTCTGACCAAGACAGGGTTCCGGTATATCCTCACCCACGAGCAGCGTGCCCGTGTCGCACAACTCGCTTCGCCCTCACCGACCGACATCACTGCAGCCATTCGAACGCCGCTTCTCGTCCCGCCTATCTCCATCCCCTGGGCCGACACCGCGCGGTCAGTCACCGGCCTTCCTATCGCCGCACTCGCGACAATCCTCCGTATCGAGCAATCTCGTCTTCCAGCAACTGTCCGATGATGGATCCGAGACACCTCAGGCGCCGTGGGAGGTCGTGCGATGGACCAAGTTGAAGAAGATCACCGGACAAGTTTTCTCTGAGATTGGGAAGCGCAACTTTGGCCGGCCCACATGCTTACATGTGACCGTCTCGTTGGCGATAGGAACGTCGAAAGGCTTCATCCTCATCTTCGACTACCAACAGGTCCTCAAGTCCATCATCGGACCGGGAACCAAGGCTGTCGAATGCGGTGCCATCACTTCGCTAGCCATCGCTGCTGATCACTCGGCCATTGCAGGGGGGCATGCGACAGGTCACATCTTCACATGGGAGTTGGCGAAGCCGGCCAAGCCATTCTTGCACATCCCGCCTCTGGAAAGGGCGTCTCTCGAGGACAACAAGTCAGATGGCCATGTCTCGGGTGTAGCCATTCTGCATCTGGGTTTCCTCGGCACCCGGCGCACAGCGCTCGTCTCCGCAGATGACGCAGGCATGGCCTTCTCCCATCTGGCGACACGTGGGCTAGGGGCCATCGCGCGGACGGTCAAGACTACTCGCATCTTGGGAAGATATCCATTGTCGGCAAAGTCACTGGAGAAACCTCGGAAACCAAGTTCTGTGCTGGCCTTCGCACCCCTGCCCTTAGGCAATGTTGAGCAGCCAACCGACAACATGGGTTTGACCGCATTGCTAACACCCTATCTGTTAGTCATTGTCTCGACTACCCCGGTTGCACAGACCCAGCACAAAGCGCCCCGACCCAAGGATGTGGAAGCGCACAGCGCGCTGAGTGGGTGTTTGGCTTGGTTTCCGGCTGTCAAGCTGAAGAGTTCCTCCGATGGTCCCGATAACGCGATATCCAAAACCAAACTCGTGTACTGTTGGTCTAACGTCCTGACCATACTGGAGGTCGACTCCATCCTGCCACCCCCGTCCGAAAGAGAAAAGCCTGTTGAGCTTCGCTTCAGACCTCGGAGTCGCTGGAAGGCGGAAGAAGCTATTGTTGCTGTTCAGTGGCTGAGTCGATCAGTTCTCAGCGTGCTTACCATTAGTCAGCGTCTCATGATCCTGGAAGACAACACCCTCCGCATGACAGACTCATTTGATTTGCTGCAGAAGCACATCTACCACTCGGACCTTTTCTCACGACAGCTCAAGCCGGTCGTTGAGCAGCTCAATGAAGAAGATGCGTCGCTACATGGTGTCGTGGCAGATGCCTTCTACATGAGCTTCCGGGCGTACAAGGGTCGGCTGTTCCTCCTGGGTTTCAACGACTGCTCCATCGGCACTCTCTCAAACTGGGCTGACCGCCTGCTGGCCTTGATGGAGGATGGCGACTACATTGCCGCTATCGGTCTCGCGACTTCGTACTACCTCGGGGATGCGGACAAGCTCACCGTCGGACTGCCCGACGATGACAAAGCACGCCATGCGCTTGTACAGCCAAAGCTGCTCGAGATGATTACGGCCTCATTGAAGTATTCCTTCTCAAGACAGGACGACCTCGATCGCGATGCGCAGGAGCGTCGAGCGAAAGAGCTTGCTGAGGTGGTCTTCACAGGTTTGCTATGCATGGAGGAATATGACTTCTTGTTCGAAGACGTTTACGATACCTACGAAGATGCGTCAGCCGAGAAGGCTTTCTTCGAGACACTCGAGCCGTACATACAAGACGATGAGATCACTGCAGTACCACCGAACGTCTTGAAGGACCTCATCACGTTCTACGCCTCAGCCAATCGCTCCACCCAGCTCGAAGAGATGATCTGCCGGCTCAGCACCGATACGATGGACCTCAATCAAGTCACCATGCTCTGTCAACAATACGTGTTGTATGACGCGCTGATCTACGTATGGACAAGAGCTATCGGCGACTACATTACGCCACTTACCAACATCCTTGAACTCATCAAGCTCGTGGACTTTGACGTGGATGAGACGGAGAACATCTATCTCACTGCCGCGAAGAAGATTTTTCCATACCTAGCGTACACCTTCACCGGGCGGGTGTATCCTGGCGGCACGTTCATGGAGGATGACCAAGCGTATAGTGCCAAGAAGGACATGTATCGATTCCTGTTCTCGGGTAAGAACCTGGAATGGCCACCAGGCTCAGGCGAAGTCATCCTGACACAATCTGACGGCAGCCCAGAGCCTCCATTTCCGTATCTGCAGCTCGTCTTGGACTTTGACGCTTCGAGCTTCATGAGCATGCTGAACGAGGCCTTTGAGGATAGCTTCTTGAATGGCGAGCAAGATGCACCAAACGGAGCCCAGCTCAACGGCACGCACAAAGGGTCTGCTCTCACTCCCACTCGCCAGTCCATCATAAACTACCTTTTCGGGATAATGAACACCGACAACTTCGACCCAGAAGATATCATCTACTTCTACATGTTCGTCGCGCGAAATTTGCCGAAATACCCGCAACATATCATGCTTCCAGGGACGTCGCTGCATCAGGTCCTTATCGGTCTCTGCAACTACCCTACGGATACGATCAAGGAAGACTGCCAGCTGTCAGTCGAGTATCTTCTCTCCATCTACCACCCACCCAGTCCACAGGGTCTCGTGCCGCTGTTCGAGAAGGCTGGCTTCCATCGCGTGCTCAAGTCTGTGTATCGGGGCGCACACCAATACGCGAAGCTGCTCGAAACGTACCTTGACGACGAAGAGGACGACGAGGCTGTCTTTGGTTGTATCGCCGACATCTTCCGGCCAAGCAAAGGTGTTTTGAAGAAGCAGCTGAACGAGGTCAGGCTAGTCATCGTGAGTCGCGCTGCAGACTTGGCTGCGATCGACGCGTCGCAAACTGCGGTGACATTGAAGCAATATGCGCCCGACCTGCTCGAGCCAGTTCTCGACGCTATCGAAGCCGGAAGCGATGCGCAGTACCGCTATCTACAGGCTCTGATCGAACCAGAGCAAGCTGCGACAGGCAGTGTTGCGCCCATCGATGAGAACCTGCCTTCTGGATTCATCGAGAACTATGTGCAGCTCATGTGTACTTACAACAGCGCGCATGTGGCAGACTTCGTCGGCTCGTTGAAGTCCAGCGACCTCCGATTGGATCCTGTTCTGCCCGCGCTGGAGAAGAGCGGTGTCATTGACGGTGCGGTCATTTTAATGGCTCGAGATGGCCTAGTCCAGGGAGCCATGGACCGACTAGTGAAGCATCTTGGTACGCTTCAGACTGCCTTGATCGGCCTCATCGGAGCCGCATCAGAAACGCCGGATGTGGCCAACACCGAGGAAGCAGTCCACGATCTTCTTGAAGACATTCAGAAGTACATCAAGGTTGGCATATGGCTATGTCAAGGACAGACACAATCGAAAGAGCCGAGACCAGAGTCGACAATCGACAGACGGAAGTCCGCATACGGAGAGGTTCGTGAAGGAGATCTCGCGCCGGACGAACTGTTATGGCTTGAGCTTGTCGACACGTCCGTACGGCTCATCAGAGATACATCCAGCGCCGTTGCTGACCATGATGCTTCCATCACATCAACGGGCGTTGACCCAGCCGATACCGTCGACACCGCACGCATCGTATCCACTCTCCGCTCCTCGATCCAACTCACCTTTTCCGCCCTCCTCACATCCACCACCATCCCACCCACACGAAAGACCACCCAATCCCACTCCACTCCAGACGCCACAACCCGCCCACCCATTCGCCCCACCACATCCCGCGCCCAATCCAACCCCTCCTTCCTCCGCATCCTCCGCTGCTTCCTCACCCGCGCAACACACACCTACTCGCCCTCCCTCTCGGACCTCCGCTCCGTCCTCTCTGAGATCTTCGCAGCCTACACGTTCGAAGAAACCATCCTCAGCCTCGCAAACCGCTTCCTCGACAAAGAGTCCTTCGAGCACGTCCACGAGATCACCGAGCTGCGGAAGCGCGGGTGGAGACCCCGCGGCCAGGTCTGCGAAGGGTGCAAGAAGAGGGCTTGGGGGCCTGGTGCGGGGCCTGGTGTGTGGGAGGCTTGGGA